GAGTCCCTTCAGCGACAAGACATGGACGACGTCGTCGCTGTTCTCAAGCAGGACCTTGTCCCAGATACGTCTGGTCATCTCCGAGTCACCGCTACCGCTGTATGCAGCGAGCACGTTGGACACCTCATCCTTGGAAATGGTCTGACCTTGCTCGGCTGCTTGTGGCTTGTGGTGGTCGCTGAAAACGTAACTGGGCATCGACATTCCGCGTTGGTAGTTGACTCGGTACGAACCGTCTATAACATGATCAGCTCACACACGAGGTGTTGTGTTAGATGCGGAAGCCCACCTGAGTTCTTGTTCGTCATGGCTCCAGGCTGCTCGACTAGATCGACCTGGAAACCAACGAAGAATTTCATCTTGCCGCCAGGCTCCCAAGCGATAGGGATCATAGTGAGCAGGTTCATGAACGGCTGGCCGCCTCTTCGGTAATTGATCAAGCTGATCTGCGCCTCGGCACGACTCTCGATCATGTTCTTGAGATAGTATACCGAATCATCGTCAACGTAGTTGCGTTTGATACCCGATTCTACCTTGCCGTCAGGTGCTTGTAAGAAACGGCAATTCCGCCCGAGGATCATATGTCTCGTGTAGCCGGTCAGTCGTTCGAAGTTCTCAGAGCAGTAAACAATGGGAATGTCGTCCAGCTCGGCATCGCAAACGACGAAAGCGCACGAAAGATCAACGGAGCCGATGTCGATCTGGGGTTCAGGTCGAGTAGCTACGCGCATCTATTGGCATATCAGTATGTCAATCTCAGTACACTGTGTCGATACGTACCAGCACTCCGAGCATGTCAAATCCGGTCGACGAGTACGCATTTTTGAACTGCGTCTTCATGTGTGGGTTGTTCGCTTTGGTTGACGGGAACCCGCCGGTGGGCGCCTGCCACGGAATCTTGAAGTCTGCGAGTTGCTTCTTCATGACCTCTTTAGACAGATCTTGAGCAGGGTCCTGTGCGACGGGTTGTTGGTTCTGCAGTGAGGCCAGGGTCATGCGCGTTGGAACACTGTTGGAAGAATGGTGTTCACTTTGGGGCCGGGAGTGGGACCGCATGCTGGACTGGTCCTGGCTGGTCGACCGACTGAGGAAGCTGGATCTGCCGGACTTGACTTCTGGTGTATTGTTTAGGGACGGACGTTTGAACTGGTCTTGGGTCTGGCCTGACGGAGTATTGTCTCCTTGGGGAGCAGCGGGCACTGGTCCTACAAAGTCCTGCTGGATGGGCGAGTCCAGCATGGGTGTGTTAAATTGGCTGCCTGGGAACATGTTCATGTCCATGGGTGTCATGGCCATCGAATCGTCCATGTCCAAGGGCATGTTCATGCCGTTCTGATACGATCCCATGTCCAGGTCGAGGGAGTTCTTCTGGTGCATGGGCGAGGCGTAGGCAGAGCCAGGACCGCCCATGGTCGGAAAGGGAGAAGCCTGGCCTTGGAACTGTGTGTTGATGTTGAGGTCGGCAGCCGGCATTTGGTCACTCTGGATGTCGGCCGTGGTGCGCGGAAAAGCGGTGTTGTTGCGCATCATGTTGTCCATGGCAGCGGTTGACATGTCGAATTGGAAATCGTCCATGTCTCCGCCATTGGGATCACCGAAATTCATCATGCTCAGCCTGCGCGTGTCGGGGCTGCCCAGGTTCATTTGTTGTTGTTGCTGCTGCTGTTGTTGGGGCCCTCTAGCGTATACGGGCATACTCCGGCGGCGGTTGTCCTTGTCGTTCTGCGCGACGATGGAGTCCAGCGACTGGCCCTCGACCATGTTGAAGCCGTTCATGCCGTCCCCATTCATATTCATCATCATGTTCCCATTGGCGGCCGGGTTGAAGGGCCGGGTGGGATATGGGTAGCCATTCATGGTGGCGGCTAGGGCGCTACGGGCTCAAGAGCGGCAGGAGCAGGCAGTGTCGTCCGGCACGGGGTTGTAGGCATCCACGGGTGTGGGCGGCGCCCGAGGGCACGGCGGTGGTGCGCTATCGCTTGTCTCGCTGGTGATGTTGGAGTCGCGGCGGCGGGGCGTGCAGCGTCTGACAAGCGACATCCGGGGGCGGCGACAGATGGGGGGGGGCTCCTCGGCCTGGGTGCAGTGCAGCAGGACGGGGAGTCGTCTGGGGCAGATTGGGCGGGTGAAGTTGGGATGCGAAGAGCGAGCATGTGTAGCGTCAGTGGAATGCGCTAGGTGCCAAGCCAAAAGGCCGCGTGCGGGATAGCTGCAGAAGATGACGGAAGCATGTCAGTGGCTTCACGCGAGCAATTATCGGGGGCAGCCCGGGCACAAGCACTCTCTGAGCACAGGCGGAGCGGCATGGGATAAGCAAGAGGCGAGCGACTCTGCAAGCAGGGACCAGCTATGGTATTTTGCACTTTGCCATGCTCTGCCCTACCGGTGGGACCGATGCACGCAGCCCCCCTCGCTGCGGTCCTGACTGGCACACATGATCTGACAATGACGGCAATCGCCTGAGGCTCGTTATCGGTCTGACACTGGAGGATGGGCTGGCCTGCAGGGTGGCCCAATTGGGCTAGCTTGGCGGGTGCTTGGCATGCCCCGGCTCGAGAGTTTTTGGAGCGACAGCGCCGACTGCACGCGACGGCAAAATGATACTGAGGAGCATCGCAGCGCGCAGTGGTAGGAGACGTCAATTGGACATGACTGCACATACTAACACCATCGATAGCCCCCCGGGCGCTCGCACGACACTCCCGCCAGCCGCTCCGCCCGCTGCAGCGATTTCTCTCCACCGAGACCGAGTCGATCGAGGCCGCTACCGACAACAGTCTCAAGCAGATCCAGTCGATAGAGGCCCAGCTCAACACCCACCTCCAGCAGCCCATCCCCTCCGTCGACCCCGAGACCCATGGCACCTCCGAGTCCGCCTCCGACGATGTCGCTGAGCAGTACTACATGTACAAGCAGCAGTGTACGACCGCCGCCCCATCCTGACTCCACCCTGCTGACGATCCGTAGCCAAGCAGATGGGACATCTAGGAACTCAGATCGAGCCGCACTACCAACCGCACTCCCTCCTGAACCACCCCCCATCGCCCGCCGACGTGACCCTCGAACTGCTCCTCGCCTCCGAGGCCCACCAAGGCCATGTCACTTCCCTATGGAACCCCGCAAACGCACGCTACATCCACGGCATACGGCAAGGCGTCCACATCATCTCGCTCGAAGTCACTGCAGCCCACTTGCGGCGGTCCGCCAAGGTCGTGCAGGAAGTTGCGCGGCGGGGAGGCATGATCTTGTTCGTGGGCACGCGCGACGGGCAGGATAGGGCAGTAGCACGCGCTGCGGAGCTAGCCAAAGGATACCACCTGTTCGAGCGCTGGATCCCAGGAAGCATCACCAACGGCCAGCAAATTCTCGGCAGGTGCAAGACCAAGGTCGTGAATGAGTTCGACGAGGAGGTCTCCGGCTTCGAAGAGCAGCTCTTCGACCGATCTGTCCTCCGGCCCGACCTGGTCGTCTGCATGAATCCCCTCGAGAACTACGTCCTGCTGCACGAGTGTGCGCTGAACAACATTCCCACCATCGGCGTCATTGACACCAACGCGGACCCCACCTGGGTCACGTACCCCATCCCTGCCAACGACGACAGGTAAAACATCTCCCACCAGCGGCTACTGTTTCAGGCTAACACATCACAGTCTACGCTGCATACAAGTCATCGCTGGCGTCCTAGGTCGTGCCGGAGAAACCGGCCAAAAGCAACGGCTTGCGGCCGCCGCTGAAGGCCGCATCACCTACCGCCCAGCACAAGGCTTGACATTAACCAGCACAGATGTGGATGCCAAGAGTGCAGAAAGCGTGAGACCCGAACGCAGATCTGTAGGACGGATGGGTACGAATGTCCCCCTGGAGCAAGTCGACGAAGCAGCGGGACCGATAGACACGGGCTTAGAGGATGCCAATGAAATGGCCACCAAACTGGACGAAGTGGCCAACCACGAGAGCCATCGGACGAGAGAAGGCAGAGATCTTAAAGTCACCTCATAGAGCGTTTGTATAGCATGTAAATCTACAGTACGAATATTATGCATAGGATCAGGTCTCACCTTCACGCGCACGCTTACTCATGCCGTTATTTGTGTTCAGTTGTCACGCCTCAGCACCACACCAAACTTCAAACTATCGAATTTGAGCGCCGTATGTCACGACACCAACTTCACAAGCGCGCGTCCAATCTTAAACACCAACAGTAACGTTTCCATCCCAAGCGAAACATCAACACCATAACATTCCCAGTTCTAAGACGTAGATCTACGAAGATCTCCACGGCACCTATCCGGAACGAGCCTGAGCTCTTTCCCCCCGGAGCCACCCACAGCAGCGCAGCGCACCCAGCCAAAAACACCGCGACGTTGCGATAAAGCCTGGCCCATCACAACCGTGCTAGCAGCACCACGGAACCTGCAACCGCCCGACTAACCCTCTAGCTCAGGCCCAGGAGCCGAGCCGGAAAAAGGAGAAAAAGCACATACCGAGAGTCCCAAGGGCAAGCAGAAGAAGTAAGCGTCACGTTTATTCCGATGCAGGAACATGACGTCAGTCGTGCTAGTGCATCGAGTCGCGATCGGAAGTTTGGGCCGTCATCGAATGAACAGTGCACACGCAGGGAAGCCCCGTAGTATGGGGCGCGCATTTCACCGGAGAGGATTGAAACGTAGTGAGGCGGTAAAGGAAGAAGGGGGAAGGCAAAAGCAGGCGGCGGTGTGGGGGTTTTAGTACTTGGTTGGTACAAGGCGAATGGTAGATATTATTAGGTAGGGGTTAACTGCAACTTTACGAGACGAAGGCTATCAAAGGGGATGGGATGTGGAGTTCTATACAGAGAGTTTGTTTTCAGGACTACACATTAGAGCGATGGTGTGCTAAACCGGCCGTTTACCAAACCAACATAGTGAATGCCACGAAGGGGAAAGGGATTATGGTTGTTTCGAAGCGTCGGCCAAAGTGTTGAAGGTGCTGTACCGCCGGAGTAGCTGGGCTTTCGAGTCCTAGTCGAGATCGTCGGCGCTGGTTTCTGTTGCTTTTGGCGCTGCGGCTGCGGCGGGCGCTGGGGTTTGGCCGTAGAAGTCTAGTTTGCCCTCGCTCTGGAGGACACCCATACGGTCGTACAGTGAGCGAGCTCGAACATACGGGTCCAGCTTCCAGTAGTTCTGCCTCAGCTGTTCGGCAATGCTATCCCTTTCTTTCCTCTTCTCGTCCGCTGGCGCACCCTCACCGGTGTGTACCCACTCCAGCACGGAAGTCTCGTAATTGTCGACGATCTGTTGCCTCTCGCTTTGCAGCTCCTGCTTTGGCTTCTCTTCGGCCATCTTGTCGTTCTCACCTGGCACGGGCTCTGGGAACTTGTACTCCCACTTCTCCTCTCCACCTAGTTCAGTTGGAATCTGCGACTTTGGGATGTAGTTGCTGAGATCGTCGATCGTCTTTGCAAAGTGCACCTTGCCGGCAACGACGGGGTCCAACCAGCCTTTGACGATACTCCACACAGCGTTGAAGACCCAGGGCGCTCGGTAGACGAGAACGGTGCCAAGCGATTCGGGGTAGTTGGCCTCGAAGCACTTGATCATGAACTTTACCGGCGTGTAGTCCATGTTGGCCATGGAGAAGTCGGTCATATCGAAGACGATAGTCTGTATTCGGTTAATCATTGCACACAATCCGGAGAAGAGAATAGACTTACGGCTGTGTCAATCGGAGGCCTCAACAGCATGCGTGCGGTCTCAATAGTGTAGACGGTGAATCTTTCCAGACTTTCCTCCGTCTGCTCGCCGGCTTTGTGTAACCTCGCGCGAACAAAACACATCGGCCTTCCTTCAATGTCCAATCCGTGTAGATAGCTCTTGCCCATGCGCAGCTGTGTCAGGAAGTCCTCCGCGTTCTTCTTTGTCTTAGCATCGTCGCTGGTAGTTTGCGCAGCGGCGAGCTCTCCGTTCTTCATGATGTCGTCGTCGACATGCATCTCGTTCAACCTCCACTGCATGGTAGAGATCATCATGACTAGCGCCTTCTCCACGTCCCATTTCCGTGCGCGGAGGAATCGGAGAAGGAGAGCATCGGGGTGGTCGTGCTTGACCATCATCCAGAAGGTCCTTCGCAGCTCCTCTGGGGGAATGTTGGCGATCGCTGCCTTGAACTCTGCGGTCTGGCCGAACTTGTCGTCATCGGCGGATATCGACAGCCTGCTAATGTCTGACGGGGTCGAGCCTGTCGAAGCAGTCGACGCCTTGTCGTCTGCGCCCTTCTCGCCCTTATTCCTCTTGAACACGTTCAATCGGCTCTTCTTCTTGTCCTTCTTGCCGTCCGCTGCCGCCTCACTTGTGGTCGGTGATGCGACCTCATCGACCGTGCTCGCAGCTTCCGACCCCGCTTCCACGCCGAAAACCTTCATAACGATCCCCCATAGCTCGCGCAGCTTCTTGTCTTCTTCGGGTGTGAGGGTTCCCGGTCGCCCGGCGGGGGTGTTTGGTGCCATGACGAGGTAAGAGTCTGTGAGGTCTGCGGTGTTGAAATGAGTCGGGGTGGATTTCCTGGCTGTCTTGGGCTCTGAAGAGCTCTGTACGAAGGGGACGAGTAGCACGCCGCCAATTGCAATGCCAGCGACTATTCCTACAGTCCACAGGTTGAGTCCGCTTGTCTTGTGAGGTGCCGGTGCCGTGCTTCGCCGACTGTGATGTAGTAGGTTTGCGCGTGTGACCGGATTCGTAGAGCTATAGGGGGCAGGTGGGGCGCCGCGATACTTTGGGTTATACACGGATAGTTGACGCTTGGGTGTAGAGGTGAGCAGAAGTCGTCGTAGGGGCTGTGCGCGAGGCAACATGGAAAAGTGTCAGGTTGCTGAGCTGAGCCTCGTTATGGCAACTGCTCGCGTCTGCTTAGTGTGACGTCGGCAGAGCTTTCCGGATGCGTCGGACGAATATGTAGCCGCGATCTACGTACAGAATGCAGCAGCGGGACGCCTTAGAGCAAGCTGCGGGCAAGTGCGTCTTGTGATAGTTTGCTGAACACAAAGTATCCGGAGACGTACAGAGAGGCGTACTTTTGGAAGCAAGAACAATGGCATCATCGACCAATTGGTCTTAGCGCGATTGCCCTGCGTGTGGGGTACTGTTTACTTCGTATCAAGCTCCCGAACTAGGACCGCGTTTCAAGATCTCAGAGGCGTCACAGTACCAGACTGCAATTGCGCGACTGTGCTACCAGATTTACAAGGAGATACATCTACCACCGTGCAAACATGGCGTCCACAACACCCACAACAACACCCTCGTACCGGCGCACACGCAGCAAATCACCACGATCACGTCCGACCACGCCCCTCCGCCCGTCTTCCCGCTCCTCATTACGCGACTCATCCCAACGCGGTCGCGCTGCTTCGGCATCTGGCAACGCGCTTGAAGGCTTACAGGATGGATTCGCCGAGTTGAGCGACGCCATGGCAGACCTTGAGCAAAACTTCTTGCAATTGCAACTTATGCACGAGAGCCTGGCACGTTTCTCAGAGAGTTTTGCGGGGTTTCTGTATGGAATGAACATGAATGCTTTCTGCGTAGACTTCCCGGAGGTGAGTGATGGGAGACTGAAGAGAAGATACAGAGGAGAGAGAACGCGGGATGGTACTGACTCGTCACTAGGCTCCTGTTCCAGAATCCTTCAAGCGCCCACAGAACCAACCTGACCAAGGTGCCGCAAACCTGAATCGCTCTCAAGGCCCAGAAGATATGGAAGCCACGTTCTTAACGACCGACACTTCATTCGTCGACAACCCGCCGAGTAGCAAAATCCACTCCAAATTCCAGAACCCACAAACGCCAGCACCGGCTACGAGAACAAGTGGCGTACCTAGAGGAAGAGGGGGAATACCACGAGCAGGCGGACGGGGTGGTATACCTACACGCGGCGGTGCACCTAGAGGAACCAGGGGTGGTACAGGCATAGCAAGAGGTGTCGCTGGACGTGGTCGCGGAGCACGTTGAGAACGTCGGACAAATCTATGGTGATGTCTCGCTGAGTACAATTTTCATGGCAATGAGGAAGCTTGTTCTATGAATGTTCTATTATCCCACATCGTGTAGGGGTTGCATGGCTACATTGCTAACTGTGGTGCAACCTAGTATTAACTTCCAGAGTCACCATCCGTCTATTACTACCATGATCCCTTCGTCCTAAGAAGCTCATTAATCCAAGATGACCTTCATTACCACCGGTCTAGAAAAAAACAGGTATTAGGTGCAGCTATCCACGCTGTCGTCTTCCTTAAGAAAGGGGTATACTGCGACCAAACCCATTAAACCAAAAAAATAAAGCGTCAAAGTCATAAAGAGGAAATATAGGGTATCAAGTGGAAGTTCCACTTCCTAGATAAGAAAATCGTGACCGGTCGATCGATCAAGGGTATCTCGTAAAAATGTCGCCTACGCCAATACTCCAGCAAGACCCTTTGCGTACTGGCTGCTGCTCTCCTTGCGTAGAGCCCATCCCTTGATAGCGATCACTACAGTCGTCCAAGCCATGAGCAGCGCGGTAAGGCCCATGACAACCGTGAAGATGAACATAGCGTCGAGGTTGTACGATTCCAGAGCTGCGACCGTGTCCTTGTTGCTGACCATGAAGGTGATACCACCCGATATCAGACAAAATGCGGTGACGATTTCCGTAGGCGGCCGGGATGGCAGAAACGAAGTCGGCGGTGAGATGTATAGGGTGATGTAGGTAAGACCGCGGGCAAGAGCAAAGGCCATGAACATGCTGCCCCATTGGGTATGGATCATAGTCGAGACCATTGAGCTCTGATGATGAGAGCTCATCATCTTGCCGAGTAACATAATGATTAGGGCCGGGAGTGGGTTCATCGAAAAGCGATATTGGCTAGGCTGCTTCCAGGACTCGTTTTGTAGCGAGCTTGCTTGAGAGGCAACGACTCCGCTGTTAAGAAGGTCGCGTACCTTGGTCGATTCGATGCACATTCCCAACTAGGAAGAATGTCAGCGATATTACACAGAAAAAGAAGGAGCGACCTTTACTCACCAAACCACCACCAAAGAACATCACCGAAATCGAAACATGTTCCAGATCTTGTGCAGTCCATGCATCGCCCCACGCAGCCAGGTGTTCGAGGAAGACGTTTGTGCAGCCGTATAGCCAGATGACGAAGGATTCGGTAAACTCTGCCGACGGTAGTGCCGCTCTCCGACGACCGACGACTTCCTTCGGTGGCTTCACGTTCCAGGCCCATCCGAAATCTGCAAATGCACCCATCCATCGACCCAAGGTAAGGAAGCCGTATAGAAAGAAGATCCCTCCTTTTACTGTGTGCGCCAGGACGTTGAAAATTGCACCTCCCCTTCCGATGCCGCCGTAGACGATGGCGCCACTTACAATCGCCGCGAAACCCTGTACCAAGATTGTGCGCTCGATGGCAACGTAGAGGAAGCGAATTGCCTTGAGTGTCCGACCAACTGCGAAGCGCGCCACGCTACGAGAGAAGAAATTGTCCATCGAGGTGTTGCGAAGGAAGCCGCGCTTCTCGTCGTCGCTGTCGTCGTCGTTACCGAAAGAGTCGTCGTCATGTGTGGATCTTCGAAGAGGGGGAGCGAATTGCTGGTTCTCAGATTCCACGCTGGGGGACTGAGAGGGATCATACAGAGAAGCCGAGTTCCGCTCTGTGCCCTGCCCCGAATCCCCTGACCATCGCGACGGCGCGACAGCCTCTTCGTCGTGTACGCGCTCGTATCTGAGCATATTGGCGGTCGTCATTGGCTCCGCAAATTCGTCCGCTTTCGAGTGAGACTCTGACCTACCAGCGTAGGCCTGGATCAGAGCCATGAACACCCATGCCGAAGCGATCCAGGTGATGGCCCATCCCATCTTGCTGTGTGCATTTCCTGCGTACATCTCCGGTGTCTTGTGGTCGTATACGAGGCCGAGTACGAGCGCGAACGCATTGATGGCGAGGAAGATCATTTGCGAGGGGAGAGTATATCTTGAGCGAGCGATGCTAAACATGACTGCGATTGGCAAGATGACAATCCAGGCCAGGATCTCAAGCCCTATGTGCCAGAACATAAGCGAAGCATGCTCCGATAAACTCCAATAGCCTTCAAAGCCATTGTCCTGCGGTTGCGCCTTCGGCATTTCATGTGCGCTCATGTCCATTTCCTTGCTATCGCCATGCGCAGCTGCCAGCGGTAAGAGCTCAATTAGCAGCGCCGCGGTGGCTATCGTCAAAATCCTGCGATCCGGCATGTATGTTATGTTCAGGAAGGATTAGATTTGTTAAGGTGGGATGAAATGCGCAGAGCTCAAACAACTGAAATAGCAAGACGCAGATCGGTCGTATGAATGGCTGCAGTACTTCAGGATGCGCTGTCAAAGCAACAAGAAGATGAGGGATTCAAGGGAGACAGCAGATGTAACAGGAAGAAATGTTTCAATGCATGTGGCCGCCAGCGCCATGGGCGTAGCTCGCATCTATATTGTTTCCGGAAGTTTCGGAACAAGAAGTTTGAGCAAGTCATTGCGACAAGAGTTTGTCAGCTGCGAAACCCATCCGATCGCATGGCATTCTTCGTTGGCTGTGACGTCGGATGTGATTGTCAGGCGCGGCGTGGGTCCGGGCAAGCACGGACAGAGGGCCATTCCGTCAGCCACCGCTAATGGGATTTTGCGAGCAATCCACCCGGCAAAGTTCGCCATGTTAGTCTTAAGGTTGTGGCTGCATCTATCTCATCATGACATTGAAACCTACGGCGACTTTGGCCTGACAATTGAAACGGCCTCGTCGCCTTTGACTTCGTCGCAGACTCAGTGAGTGTGTCACGCCATGCCTGCGACAAGGCGGATATACAAGCGCCTGCATCGGATTCCGGTGACAACGACCATCCGTCTCGGCCTCCCACACTCGACTTGCGCTCGAATCGAAGATTCACATGCGATCTTCACCACCCTGTCTAGGGTACGTCGGAAGCTAAGACCGCGCGCCTGTCATATCCCAGTTTTCCTTCGCGATTTTGCAAAAATTCAACCACCGCTATCTCCAGGCTTTGTCCGAGCTACACACTCACGAAAGACATCATTGGTGCTTACATCAACCATAGTCACCTGCGCCATGTCTCTAATCCACTCAAGCTTTGTTTTCTCTTGGCAATGCACGCTAGAGGCGGATATAATCCCACGCGCAGACCGCAAGATGATCAAGCTCCGATTTCCATGTGTTTTGCTGGCATCCGGCCAGTCCCGGGCTGACACACCTGTGGCTCAATGTGACAGAAACTTGACGAGAAGACATCATGCCATGGTGCCTCAACCCGAAGGTTCAAGATTGTTTCGCAACTAGATAAGGTTCTAGAGCCGCAAAACTCGTTTCGGAGTATTTATCCGCATATTCAAGATCGCCTCACTTCCATTCTGACGCAACATTACAATCAAGAAATGTCGACGTTGAAGGCAGCACTGGGCTCTGCGACCCCGGCTTTGACTCAGACCTCCAAGTTTCTGCCTAGCGCTCGAAATACTCAATAAGCGCACTTGATGCAAATCTGTCACCGATCCTACGAGGTGTAAATCGCGAACATGCGAAAGATGTGGGGCCAGCGGGCATCCATTCGCTTGGACCTCGCAACTATACCTTCTTCGACAGCGATTCTTCATCATCTGATACTGAACGCCAAGTGTCTGACATATCTTTACATACAGTACATCCGGACTTTCGGAAAGCGTAGAACCGACATCGCTGTTTGTTATTGCCGAGGAGGAGACATTACCATGCATGCTGCAATTCGGGTCATACGATCCATCGACCGGGAGAGGACGACAGCCATG